CAACCTAGACCACAAGGACAGCTGAGATATACTAATGCTTTTTGCAAACTTCTATGTTCCTACGGAGCCACCATATCCTCCTTCATTGACGCTCGCTTGTCTACCGATTGTCCGTTGGGACGTTGCTGCCATGTGTATATCACTACGACATGTGTGGCAATCATGCACCACCATCTTCCGCTATCATGTGAGCTTGAGTGACTTGAACTGCATCACACTCACACTTTGTATGGCCGGCTAGGGTGGCTCCAAGTGTGGCGCCGAGTTACGCCACACCGCCGTGCGTGCTCGCTACCATGCTTAGGATATGTAGCATATTCCACGTATCGAATGTTCATTTTGATGCGCGGGGTGCGCGGCACATAAACCACACCGCCAAGTCGACTTGCAAGGGATCGCGAGGTAGATGGGACCTGAGCTTGGGGTATGCATATTCCCGTCCGCGCAGTCAGTGCGAATCATCTTCCCGAGGCTCGCGCACCAGGAATAATAAGGCATGCAACACGACAGTTTCAATGGACGCTCCTGGGCAGATCTGGCAGCAGATGCGGACCAGCGTGTTGTGTATCGACCGGAGCCATCGATGGCGGATGGGACTACAATGTCTGGTGCATGGGAGGCGCTCTAACGACAAGGGCACCGTGGGCCAAGCTTTTTTCTGCACCAGATGAAATAACACCCCTTAAAGCTGGACAACCGGGATATGCTGCATCAAAGTCGCGTGAAGTGACCCATTTGTCCGAGTGAGGATGCCCAGCCTATCCGTTTCGACCCCATACACCCCGCCCAATTGGCATGCCCGTGTTTCCTAGGGATGTAGTCTGAGTATATGTGCCATGCTGTACTCACTGCCACCCTCGAGCACCATTGCTTCCATATCCTCCCCGTGAAGAGCCAGCCGAATTCGGGCCAACCGTGGTGCGTCGAAGTTGGTAATGAAGGATGCAGAGATGGAGACGCTCAGCAAGCTGGAGGGGAGCGCAGGGGACCTGTGATGGAAAATGCTTGGCGTACCACTGCTGCGTGAGCAGGCTTTCGAGTGCAATGGGTGGCGTGCCAGCACCAGCGAGCCCATAGACAGCGTGAATGACATCCCCACATGCTCAGAATGGCGCCACGTGTATGCAGGTATACGTGTGTTCCTTTAGCGTGGTGCGATACGGCGTGTCCTCTTCGTTCGAGTCGGGTCATACCAAGGGTCTTTGGGACGAGGTACCGAGAGATATCGAAGTATTTTAGAGACTCCGTGGGGAGCAATGTCGTGAGTATGAAGCTGGAATAGCCACTCCCCAGCGCCAGGCACGCCTTCCGGGAAAAAAGTCAGTAACACGGATGCGATAGAGGACAGGAGGAGCAATGAAGAAAAGGAGGCGGCCAAACCGGGCAGTCGAAGGACATTACGATGCCAGAGCAGATCATCATAGATGCACTTCAGGTGCATGGAACTGCAGGGGATATGCATGTGCACATTTGCCTTACCCGTACTAGTAGGCCGTGTTTTGGGGTGCCGTCAGCATCTGCATGCAATCCTGCCATCATCGTTGGTCAGAGTGAAACATGCGGCATGAGAGAGCTCGACGGACGTACTGTTTCCTTCGATACAGATGCTATATTGATCGCAATACATGGAGCTCATATAAACAGGGAGGAGAATGAGAGCTATCCCGAGGATGTGAGAGTGGGATATGGGGAGCTGCATGCTCGGGGAAGGCTTATATCTTGCAAGGCGTTTTTGATGCCCTTGAACGCAATTTCCAGTGGTCTTTGAGTTTTCGTGCGAATTTCGTCTTGCATTGTCACTGTCGTGCGTAATTCGACATCGGAGACTCCGAGTACATTGTCCAGGCCTCTGAAATCTGCTAATGTATGGACATTGGATCGTGTGTGTTGATCGTCGATTATTGCCGTCGAGTGGCACGGACAGTTTTCCACTCAGCACATAATATACGGGTGGAAGGAACGACGTAGTGTCTTGCTCAAGCGCATTGTCAGAAGATATAGGATGCATCACGGAAATGGCGTTACAATGTAAAGACTTTGTAGGAAGCCACTACTCACTCGCTCCGAGAGTAATTTCCTGCTGTCATAATGTATGGTGTGATCACTGGATTATGGACCATGAACAGAGACGGGTAGAAGGCAACTACGGCTAATTTACCTTGATATGCTGATCGAAGGGGACTAGTGACGCACGGACCATGATAAGCGCCCGTGGACGGCGCTAAGCGCGGTGATTGCAACTTGTCCTCTTACTTACTTCTTGAGTACGGTTGTCCGGTCATCATGTCAAACAGCCCGCTCGGCGGTTCAGGTAGCAGATATGGGCATACATGATCTCAACCCAGCACGGCCGGTCTGGCAGTATCGTCAACTTGGCCACCCGTGGCAAAAAGAGCCCAGACACCACTCATGTCGAAAGTGAGAACCGCGTAAGTCATACATACAAACAGATCCTATTTGAGACGAATCCAACTAATTACTATCTCTGGAAGGTCTCTGCCGTTACCTCGTGTCCGAATCACGACGTAAGCGGTAGTGTGTGTTCCAGAGTTTCACGGCTTGAGGCTTAGGCCAGGCGTGGTACTACTCACGAGGAGCCGCGGGGACCGATTGACTGTTATCTCTGTCCCTCACCTCGTGATATCCGCACTAGGCATTGAACTCTCGAGATGCGCTCGGACTCCTTCTCGCCTTTGACTTTCATGCTCGTACGCGCCAATCAGTGATCCTTCTTTACTACCTGGAATCGCACTATGTGACTGGTCTACTGGTCTATCCGAGGCGCTCAACCCTAAAAACCACTCTGACTGCGGATAAGAAGCGTGCTCATTGCCCCACTTTAATTTTGATGGTCTTTGTGATCGCAAATTCATCCCCTACCTAAGGTGTGCCTGCAACGTGGCGAGAATGCAACAGCAAGCGCCGAAGCGCCGTATCATGGACCCGCTACTGCGGTTCTCAACTGTGTACCGTGACCGGTGTTCATATGAATAATTAGTTGTTATGACGCACACCATGCACCATGGGTCACACGGCGAACATCATCCCAACAGGTCGGAAATGTCAATGTTCCCAGAGATGTCCATTTGCGATAGTCTCTCTCTCTTCCAGCGCATTAGAACAAGTGCAATTCGGCATCCTTGTTGGTGAGCGCACAATGTCATGAGTGCAGCGTCCTGACCGACGGAGTTCCCTGCTCATTGACTCGAAGCCGATGTCCTGAAACCTCGACGGGATGTGCGCCGAAGTTTTGATGCCGAGCAAGACAATAATATATCGGCCCGCTACCAATATGTTGGATGGTGGTCGTATTGCTCAGATAGTACGTTACGTCTGCTGTGCTGTCATACAAGAAAT